ATACTTGATATCGCGATTACCGGTACTTAACTTAGCGGAACTCTTTTGCGATGTAGGTAGGAAACGTCTGTTGGCCGGGGACAAATGTGCTATTGAATACAATGCAAGATCGAGCATTGTAGAATTTATAAGGACAGACGAGTAAAAAATCTCGGTAGAATACCTTGCTAAGTATTCGCTGAACCAGCCTAATTACTTTTTGAGAAGAGCCCATCCTAAAATGTAACATTTTTAACGACATTTTTAACTAAGCGGGCTCTTCTCATTAAATTTTCATTGAAAATCGTTGCAATTTAAAGCTGATAAAATAATCTTAAACGTTCCTTATATGACAATCTACTATTTGGAGTTCAATTCTTGGAAATACATTTTACTTTCGGTATAAAATGCTCAAATCATTCGATTGTCACTACTGTGCCCCCGTAATCTCGTGAGATTTGAACAAAAGAGCGGTAGTAACTTAGATAACTGCGATGTACTGGCGATATTACGTATTAGCAAAAGCTTGAATCCCAATTTAAAGAACTTGTAGTCTTTTTCAGTCACTTCATGCTGTTCAAGACCCTAATGTTTTTTTTTTTTTACAATTAAACAGATAAATAGAGGATATCTATATTGTGTGATTTGATATTGGCTTTATCGAACGAGTTGAAATGGTGTATATATTCGCGAGGCTTGCCGAGCGAATATACACCATTTCAACGATTTGGATAAAGCCAATATCAAATCACATAATTACAGATGTTCTATTTATCTCATACGACTTTCGTTTTAACAAAACTTTGAGACTTCCCCTGCGAAAGTACATGAATGACTGCCAATTCAAATTAATGACGTATAACTTGATGACGTAGCACCGTTGATGTTTACATGCGTCGAGAGAAAGTAGATCGAGTTCATAATTTAGAATTTTTGCTTTTTGCATCTTTGAAAACATTATTTGAGAATTCCCGGAGCTTTACATCAAACGAACTTCTGACTGAAAGTTGTAAGGACTACGGGATCGTGAAAATCAACCCTTTACGATGGCAGTACAAAACGTGCTAGGCAAGGCTAGGGGCTTAGTTGTCTATAGATTCATTGCTGATCCATGGTACGTTACGCCTAAATTACTAGGTAGGCATACGTAGTATAATATAAGAAAGCATTGTTGAAGATGTCAAAGGTGTCTTAAAACAACAACTTCACTGGTAGGCTTTACTCTCTCCGAAAACGATTTAAAGGGGGGGGGGTAACATCTGTCTTCAAGTAGCTAATACGAGTTCCATGATAAAATAAGACACTTCTTTGACATATACCACTCTTTTTCTTGCTTTTAACGATATTACTACCCTTTATCATTCATTTTATAAGTGCAACCATTTTCACAAATAAAAGTTTCAATAAAATAAAATCTTGAGGCGAGGCCAGGGATCGTGTAAAAACCGGAAGTGCTATTGATAAAGTATCTACCCGTGGATAAAGCATAAGTTTATCCAACGGTCTGTATCACCAACACGTATGAGATAAACAGCCCCAAAAGATAAAGATTCTTTCTATTCCCTATAAATTTACTACAGAAGTGAAAGGACTTGAAACAATCAAACTCTGAAATATTTTTGTTGACAGCTTTTATCAAAGGATTACTTCACAACATTGGGACTCACGTAGATCCCATCAGACTGATCCCTCAAATCCAGAACGGAATTGAAATACCAGGATTTAGGGACTAACTGATTAAGATCCTTCAGGACTATATTCTACAGGTAGGAAGGTATAGGAATGGAGATCCCAGGATTAAGGGACTCACTGGTTAATATCCTCCAGGACAATAATCTACAGGTATGAAAGTATAGGAATGGAGATCCCAGGATTAAGGGACTCACTGGTTAAAATCCTCCAGGACTTTAATCTACAGGTATGAAAGTATAGGAATGGAGATCCCAGGATTTAGGGACTCACTGATTAAGATCCTCCAGGAATATAATCTACTGGTGGGAAGGTGTAGGAATGGAGATCCCAGGATTAAGGGACTCACTGGTTAAGATTCCCCAGGATTATAATTTTCAGGTAGGAAGATGTTGGAAGGGTTCAGAAATGATGTTTTTTTCTTACAATGATGGGAGAGAACAGATTGACGAATGGGGCATAAAAACCACTTTGGTTAATATAGAATTTTAAAAATAATGATATATTTATTATATATTTTTATCTCCATATATTTCTTGTCAACATTTCTGCATGCATTTTCTCAATTCCTGTAGCAGTGTCATTTTGAAGAGGGCTAGGTGAAGTCCTTTAGTTTTTACGTCTTCCTTTGTGGTTTTGTCACTATTGATGTCTTTGAACCTGAGGTCCTTGCATTAACTTGTGATAGCTTTCTTTGATGGAACCCCGTGGGGATCCGGGTTAGAATAGGTCCCCAATACCCCCTTGCTTGTCGTAAAAGGCGACTAAATGGGGGTGGTCCTTTAGATGAGACCGTATAAACCGAGGCCCCGTGTCACAGCCTGTGTGCCACTATAAAGATCCCTCCCTGCTTGAAGGTTGTAAATGCCGAGCATAGGCCAAAATTTGCAGCCCTTCACCGGCAATTGTGACGTCTCCATATCAGTGAAATATTCTAGAGAGGGACGTTAAACAGTAAACAATCAATCAATCAATCTGTGATGGATATTTTTAACTATGTATTCTTTCTAAGTATGTTTTACACTAGTGGTTAGTGTTAATCTTTTTTACACACTGGTATATATATATATATATATATATATATATATATATATATATATATATATATATATATATATATATATATATATATATATATATATATATATATATATATATATATATATATATATATATATATATATATATATATATATATATATATATATATATATATATATATTATATTAGTTTAAGAGTTGTTGTAAATTGTGCTATATAAATAAAATTAATTTCATCACAACATGTATTGGTAACAATCCTCTAAAAAAACTAATGTCGAAATAACTGTATCTCACTTCTATTCTCAATGACCGTGTAGTGTAGGGCAGCGTTGTGAGAATTCCATCGGCATCGAAAGCAAGTTTTTTTAACTTGCCTAGATAGCCGAGCGGTCTAACGCGCTGTTCCTGCACTGCTAGGAGACAGATTCCGTAGGTCGAGAGTTCAACCCCGGGCTGGGGCGGAAGTGAGTATCCTTATCAAAGTGAATTTCTCTGTGCTTTCTATATTAATATTTCTTCACTTAGGGCAGTTATATTAGTTTAAGAGTTGTTGTAAATTGTGCTATATAAATAAAATTAATTTCATCACAACATGTATTGGTAACAATCCTCTAAAAAAACTAATGTCGAAATAACTGTATCTCACTTCTATTCTCAATGACCGTGTAGTGTAGGGCAGCGTTGTGAGAATTCCATCGGCATCGAAAGCAAGTTTTTTTAACTTGCCTAGATAGCCGAGCGGTCTAACGCGCTGTTCCTGCACTGCTAGGAGACAGATTCCGTAGGTCGAGAGTTCAACCCCGGGCTGGGGCGGAAGTGAGTATCCTTATCAAAGTGAATTTCTCTGTGCTTTCTATATTAATATTTCTTCACTTAGGGCAGTTATATTAGTTTAAGAGTTGTTGTAAATTGTGCTATATAAATAAAATTAATTTCATCACAACATGTATTGGTAACAATCCTCTAAAAAAACTAATGTCGAAATAACTGTATCTCACTTCTATTCTCAATGACCGTGTAGTGTAGGGCAGCGTTGTGAGAATTCCATCGGCATCGAAAGCAAGTTTTTTTAACTTGCCTAGATAGCCGAGCGGTCTAACGCGCTGTTCCTGCACTGCTAGGAGACAGATTCCGTAGGTCGAGAGTTCAACCCCGGGCTGGGGCGAAGTGAGTATCCTTATCAAAGTGAATTTCTCTGTGCTTTCTATATTAATATTTCTTCACTTAGGGCAGTTATATTAGTTTAAGAGTTGTTGTAAATTGTGCTATATAAATAAAATTAATTTCATCACAACATGTATTGGTAACAATCCTCTAAAAAAACTAATGTCGAAATAACTGTATCTCACTTCTATTCTCAATGACCGTGTAGTGTAGGGCAGCGTTGTGAGAATTCCATCGGCATCGAAAGCAAGTTTTTTTAACTTGCCTAGATAGCCGAGCGGTCTAACGCGCTGTTCCTGCACTGCTAGGAGACAGATTCCGTAGGTCGAGAGTTCAACCCCGGGCTGGGGCGGAAGTGAGTATCCTTATCAAAGTGAATTTCTCTGTGCTTTCTATATTAATATTTCTTCACTTAGGGCAGTTATATTAGTTTAAGAGTTGTTGTAAATTGTGCTATATAAATAAAATTAATTTCATCACAACATGTATTGGTAACAATCCTCTAAAAAAACTAATGTCGAAATAACTGTATCTCACTTCTATTCTCAATGACCGTGTAGTGTAGGGCAGCGTTGTGAGAATTCCATCGGCATCGAAAGCAAGTTTTTTTAACTTGCCTAGATAGCCGAGCGGTCTAACGCGCTGTTCCTGCACTGCTAGGAGACAGATTCCGTAGGTCGAGAGTTCAACCCCGGGCTGGGGCGGAAGTGAGTATCCTTATCAAAGTGAATTTCTCTGTGCTTTCTATATATATATATATATATATATATATATATATATATATATATATATATATAGCTTTTGAATCCTCTATTCAGAGTTTTGAAATGCAGTTGGTGTCCACTCGTCTTGTTTTCCAGGCTGTCTCCTCTACTTCTTGTTTGTAAAGTTTAACGTACTTCCATGAGTTCCCAGATATTGAATGATATCTTTCTTCTGTTATCAATTATTTCCTGTTTCTTTAAGTGTAGTTTTGAGTCCTTGAATTCTTGTTACATAACAAAGACATGTTTCTTTGTAAACAACTAGATTCAGAATCAAATGTCATTAATGTTGGAAATTGTAAAAGCACTTAAACATGCTATATTTAACAACATCATGAAATTATTATGTTCATTCCCTTATTTCTGGTGGCTGACAGCTTTAACTTACTAGACAGACTGGTCAAAACTCAGAGAAGAGGCGTAGCTGTTGACAGTATGTATGACATTATTACGGGGGCAGGGTTAATGAGTGACTGACAGCTTTAACTTCATGGACAATACGATGGGATAGGGTTAATGAATGACTGACAGCTTTAACGTACTGGACAATACGATGGGTGGGGTTAATAAGTGACTGACAGCTTTAACTTACTAGACAGACTGGTCAAAACCCAGAGAAGATCTATTGGCAGTATGTATAACAGCTTAAACTTACTTGAGAGCCAGGTTAAACACACAGAAGAGGGATAGCTGTCAACATTATTATGTATGACAATATGGGATGGGGTTAATGAGTGGCTTGGGTTCTTTGGAAGAGTTAATATTTGGATTTTGAAGTATTGTATTGGAAATAATTAACATGCAATTGCCAGGCAGTGATTCAAATGCAAGGGCTGATATAAAGGGAGTTCATATTTTGTTGTAGGCATGAAAATTTTACTATTTCAGGTATGTATATACATGATATAAATGATATTTGTTTTTACCAGGTAGTCAGTCTTGTCCTATTTGTCAACAGCGAATCATAGTAACAGGTGGGTTATAATTTTTGGCTAATCTTTAGAATCATATTAAGTTTAAGTTACTAGTATGAAATTGATATCGTTATAAATTTATTTCTACTATTAATCATGTGTAATATTTTACATCTTTAAAGTCAAGTCAGTTGTCAAGAATGGGATATAAAATTAATTTTATCAAATGAATTTCATTTGAATTTTCAAAATTATCCCTAATTATGATCTGTTTTAATATTTTTTGCATTGAATCCATTTTGGAAAATGGTCAAGTTTATATCCAACAATGAGTAAATATCAGTTTACTGTTTCGTAGATTTGAGATATGCCAGCAATGTTGTTTTATTCCACTGTAAACATGCATTCCACGAAGATTGTCTACCCACAAACTCAATGGTAATTTTTTCATTCATTTCAAAACAGAAGTAGATCCAAGTTTTGTCTCACCCTTTCATACACTTGGGTACAAAAGTATAATAATTGATATACATTTTCATAGTGAATGTTATATTAGATGTATTTTTTTTGTCCTATTTGTTTGCTTTAATCTTATAGTCATTGAATTTTCTTTCACTGTAGGAGCGTTGTACAATCTGTAGTACACAAAGGAGGGGACCTGGATCGAAGGGCGTGGTCAAGTAATGTCAATCAAGTAGTGCTCCAATCAATTGCTGGCTAAAGATGGATAATCAATGAAATGATTAAAACGTTTTTAAGCATTCTGTTAAACATAATCATAGTTATTGGGCTTGTATTTTTTGAAATATTTGTATTACACCCCAAGATATAAATATAAAATTTATCAAATGGGAATTGCCATTTGTTTATTGCCAAAAGCTACAGTACTTATTTTTAACATTAATTGTTGAAAAAAAGCTGTCCTTTCTCTAAAGATTATGTTACATTGTTTTATGCTGTTTCTTAGCCATGATTGAAAGTACTTCAGTGCATTGTGTACTGAAAATGATTTCGCATTTGGTTATAAATATAAATATGTTGGCATGAATAAATCTCTTATTAGTGTTACTCTGTTATATTTATTTTATTAAAAAATACTTCATTGGAAATGAAATGAATTTTTAAGCAAATTTACTGTAATATTTATATTCCCTTTCTTTAGTATGGACAAATAAGATTTTTCTTTATGTTTATGTCTTTCATTTCTATAGGATATTTTATAGTAAATTTGTTCCGTTTTGGAGAAAATAAAGACTTCATGTTCCTGTCTTGTTCATGTTTCATTCCAGGAGATGATTTCTGCTGCATTTTTAGAGAAGCTCGTACATTTGTTGTTCCCTTTCTAGACAATTTCGTTATATGTTCATGTTCTTATTCTAAAGAACATTTAAATTCCATTCCTGAAGAAAATATTACGTTTCTGACAGATTTTTCCTCTGTTTATTGCAAATATTCATATTGTGCAGAGATGACTAACTAGTAACCTACCATAAAATGAATAGCATAAATAGAATTTACACAACTTTATTTATATGCATATGTACAAGATATTAAATGAAATCTATTCTTACAAAAGGAGATTATTTCCACACATAATCATAGAATGTATATACATGGATGACAGAAAGCAAAAAAAATATTTCAGGATCTTTTTTACAATAGAACTTTGTAAGGTATATATATTACGGTGACTTTGTGACTGTCAGCTACTAAGAGTTTCCCTTTAATTACCACTATCCTGGCTACTGCTTTTAAAAGAGTAGTTTTATGTATTATTACTCTAATTAAAATTATTAAGCATTTTGGTTATGATAATCTTTGAAAGATAAAAATTTTCTGTTTACTCCGTTGATTTGTAGCACGTACGTCTAAGAGCCTCAAAGTATTTTTTATATATATATTTTTAGTTCAAAAATGTATGCTTTAAAATATATTTGATAAAATATATTTGAACTTTTAACAAGTTAATGTGAATTTAATTGAAAGTCAACTTTTCGTTTGTCAGGCTTGAAACAGCAAAACAAAGAGTATGGTGATGTTTATGGTATGCGGACACTTTTAATGAAACTGAAAATAATACGAAATTACTGAATTATATCATAAATTGATTAAAGTTATATAAAAGAAATGAGTTTTGATATCGGATTAAGCTGCAAAATATGCAAATCTTTTTTAATTCTCCTATCTTTATATTGAGGAAATTTAATAAAACATCTTAAAGCATCGCACTATGCAAATGTTAAAAATGAGGATATTATCACTATATGAATATTAAAAAAAATGGGAATGGAAATATTGGTAAAAGAATTGAGAACACTATAAATGTTATACAAGTATATATATATTTCAAAAGAATATTAAAGGTTAAAGTCATCATCAAAACGTGCAAATTTGTTCACAACTAGGGTCTTCAGACAATCTTGGCAGAATTGGGAACATGTGTATATTAAAATACCCAAAGTACAGTGTTCAAGTTCAAGCATAATTTTTATGTCATAAACGTTGAAGGCTGTGCAAATGCAACATCATCAATGAAAATAAATACATAAGTCCATATTAAATAGTCTAAGGGTTTTGTTATCTAAATATTTTCAGTGATGGAAGTGAAACTAAGTCCATGTTTTAATAACAGAGTTACACATAATTGTGACAAATGCCACCTGTAATAATTATTTCATTATTAACTTTGAAACGCACCTATGTCTACACTCTAAGAGACCCACTTTTTAAAAATTTCTGTGGACAATATTTTGTCATTTTCATTTGTTTGCATTGCAACAAATACATCTCTCAAAGCATGTCCATACTCTATTCGCCTTTCTGGTTCCACGTCAATTCCTTTATCGTAATAATTTATAGGAGCACCGCCTCTTACTATGAGAACAACGACAGCTTCGTTGTTCCTAATCAAAATACCAGGGGACCCGGATGATCCCTTGTCAAACGTTGTATGAAATAGAATTTTCCTCGGTGAATAACGCAGTGAACGGTAATAATCAACACCCTTAAACTTTTTCTTACTCCATTCACTAAGCTCAGCGATATAATCGTCAGCATCATTGTTTGGCTCAATATCGTTTAAATATACCTCACTGTCCTCCTTCATCTGAACACCACCTGGATGACCGATAAGGTGAACCTCTTCAGAAGGAAGACGATTTGCATAAAACGAAGTTAAAGGTGGGGGAAACTCGATTTCACCTTTCTTTAATTCCAACACAACAACATCATATCCTTCATTCTTGTATACAACGGTCGGCCCAAAGTGGAATATTTTGCTCTCATTAAATTTCTGAAGGAAAGCCATCTTCTCAAACTGTATGCAGATACTCTCCCAACTGAAGAAGTCTTGGGGACCTGATTAAAATATCATAATTATGCAATTGTATACAAAATTAGAAATGCATGCAATTTAACTGTGTTTCAGGACAATGTTCTACTAATTTCAATTTCTATATATACAGTCCCTGAAACGTTCTGCTTTCCACTTTTTCCGTCTGTTGACCGTTCGTTCAGCGTGCGTTCACTGTTCGCTCTCCGTTCACAGTATTGCGTTCACCCTTCACTCGCATTCACCGTTCACAAAACGTTCACGTTCGCTCTTCGTTCCGTTTACTTTGCGTTCACCTTGCATTCACCGTTCACTTATCGATCAGTCATCATTGCCATTCAGAACTCCGAAGGGAAAGGACTTATCTTTTTGATGGTAAGGATTTACACGCTTTTTAAAATTAAATAACTTATATATCTTGTTTGAAGAATAATTATTTCTTTGCAAAAATTATCTATGACATTAATATTTCTATAATAATAACACAGCTGTTACTTTATTCATGAAATTTCCCCGGAAAATAAAACATTAATTGCCTACTTGTATGTAGAACGATGCTAAAATTTAAATTAAAAAGAAGGATAAGTACAAATGCTTTACGTACGGCAATCATTTGTTGTAATGTAAAAGACGACAAATCATAATAATTAATCCAAGTCCTTTACAAGATAGGAACACACACACACACACACCCTCACACACACACACACGCACACACAGAAATATTTCTACCGTACTACGTATTTTAAACTACACGTAGGTCTGAGAATTATGAACAGTACTGCAAATATTAAGTTAATTGAATATCTTTAGAGCTAATCAAATTGAAGTTTAAGATCCCCCTCCGGGTGCCTTTTCTCCCGAATTAAAATTCTTAGTATTTTCAATATATTTTTATTAATATTTAATGTGTGTTGTAACACTAGAAAATCAGTCTTAAAACCAACATTAAACAATCATTAAACAATTGTATTTCAAAATATACATGTGCCGACAGTAGTATTTTAAAATTGGCAAGGAATGTGGTTCATATTCAATTTCAAACTTAACCCTTCCAGGTATATATTCCCATTATTTATTTATTTTTTCGTGCAGGAATGCAAAATTAGATCTATAAATGATAGGGAAAAAGAATTTAATTTTGTTTATATTCTAGTCTTCCATTGGTTGATTTCCAAAAAGGAACGCAAACCATTTCTTAATAACCTGGTTTGGTATTGGGACACACCCTCTTGACAACCAGCTGAATCATCTGTATCAGTCCATGGGATTCAAAGTTCAAACAGTACCTCGATCTTACCTGCTGCTAGATCTGTGTATCAGTTATTACGTCACCTTGTTTCAAATCACTTCCGTTACTAGGGTTGTATTATATAGCGGCAAATTTGATCTAATAAAAAACACCACAATTTTACATCCAGTAATTCAATTATTTAAAAAATTAAATTATAAGGAATGACTCTTATTCTTGGCCAAATTATTCGATGATAACCTGGTTTGGGTCAGTTTACGCGCGGATTATAAACAAGCGGCCCATGGGCCACATCGGTCACCTAATTAGCTTTGACCATTTTGTTCTTTACAAGATTTCCCACTTGTAATACATACTGCGACCCAACCCTACCCCACTGATCATAATTTAGACATTTTGAAATCTACACTACCCCAGCATGCTTCTATGTGCACATACGTTTCAGCTTTTCTGGACCAGTGGTTCTAGATAAGAAGATTTTCAAAAAAAATTCTTATACATTTCCATTTAAAATTTTGATTCCCCATTGTGGCCCCGCCTAACTCCTGTGGATCATGATTTGAACAATTTAGAATCTACACTACCCCAGGATGCTTCCACATAAGTTTCAGCTTTTCTGGACCAGTGGTTCTGTCTGGAGTAGAAGATTTTCAAAAATTTTTCCTATATATTTCTATGTAAAACTTTGATTCCCCATTGTGGCCCCGCCCTACCCCTGGAGGTCATGATTTGAACAATTTAGAATCTTCACCACCCAAGGATGCTTCCACATAAGTTTCGGCTTTTCTGGACCGGTGGTTCTTGAGAAGATTTTCAAAGATTTTGTCCATACATTTCTATGTAAAATTTTGATTCCCCATTGTGGCCCCGCCCTATCCCTGAGGGTCAAGATTTGACCAAGTTAGAATCTACACTACCCAAGGATGCTTCCACATAAGTTTCAGCTTTTCTGGACCAGTGGTTCTTGAGAAGAAGATTTTCAAAGATTTTTCCTATATATTTCTATGTAAAACTTTGATTCCCCATTGTGGCTCCGCCCTACCCCGGGGGTTATTATTTTAGCAATCTAGAATCTACACTACCCAAGGATGCTTCCACATAAGTTTCAGCTTTTCTGGACCAGTGGTTCTTGAGAAGATTTTTTAAATAATGACCCCACCGTATTTTTATCTTTTCTTGATTATGTCCCCTTGTGAGGGGACTTGGCCCTTCATTTTAACAATTTAAATTCCCCTACACCAAAGGATGCTTTGTGCTAAGTTTGTTCAAAATTGGCCCAGTGGTTCTGGAGAAGAAGTCGAAAATGTGAAAAGTTTACAGACGGACGGACAGACAGACGGACGACGGACAAAATGTGATCAGAAAAGCTCACTTGAGCCTTCGGCTCAGGTGAGCTAAAAAGCGTACACTGGCCCAAACCAGGTTATCATCGAATAATTTGACCAAGAATTAGAGTCATTCCTAAAATATACATTAAAAGTTTTTGGAAATACTAAGTGACTCTTTGCCTTTAGCGGAGCGGATAGTGGGGAAAATATTTCACTTGCGGATACAAGCACGAAATTTTGCATGAAGGTTCTTTGACTATTACTTGAATAAGAAATATCGTTGGCCATTCAAGTTTCGGCCATTTTCAAGATGGCCGCCACTTATTTCATAATGGCGTCTGTTTTCATATTTTCTTTCCTAATATTTTGAACGTTACTCGGTAATACTTTATTTTTTTTAAAATA